AACAGTACTCCCATGGCCTGATCTACAACAAAACAGAAAAGAAGTGTTTTGCCATGCTCCTGGGGCCATGCAGGGTGGCCCCATCTGAGCGAGGCTCACTCCCTGCCACCCTCTTGGCAACAAGACCTCTCTTCTAGTAAAGTAAACGTTGGTAAAATAGGCCTTTCCTTTCTTCCGTTGCCTGGGACCCTATAATTTGAAGAGACACAACACATTCTCTAACAGAACACTCCCCCATTCATCTGCTGGAAACATCAGCAGAAAATAGTCATTAAGCAGATGAAAAATTATAGTTCAAACACATGAAAACAATCTAAAGAATCAGAGTAAATGCCTCCCTGTCCCCTGTGGACAAAATTACTACAAGAAACAATAAAACAAATAAATAAGCAAAACCTTACCAACTCTAGCTTGAATTATCTATGAGATTTGTGAGTCTGATTGAATCAATAATTTTTTTACATTAGATCAGACAATGTAAAAGAAAAGATACATTATTAGGTTGATAATGTAATTTTCTCTGCCTCAGTAAATTCCAGAAAACATTGAATTAATGCCTATGAGGTTTTGAGAGGGCTAGAAAGTAAAAGTCTGTGATGAGAGAAGGTAATACCCGGCCCAGTTAGTGGGGGGCGGGGAGTAAGAGCAGGGGAAAGCCATTCTGAGACAGGCAGACAGCCACACACTCTCTCTGAAATATTACTCACAGAAGTACCTCATCTAAATGACAGAAAATAAATCTCAATGAAGAACTCAGAGTGGAGTGGGCTGGTATAAAGATGGTGATGACAAGTCAACCTGTAAAATATAAGAGTTGATTCTTAAATGAATATTATGAAATGCAATGCTTATGTCTAAAATAATTCTTGAAAGAGAATATATGAGTTATAAAGTATTGTATTAATTTAATTATAAAATACTAGATTATTCCAACAAAACTGGAACGCCAGGTTGGCAGGGAAGTGGGTATGTGAATCCCTCCCCATCTCCCAAAGTCAAGTGTCCTTTCGTCACCATGTGTTTGCCATCCTTTACCCAATTGCCTCCCCTGCCCCTCTTCTGGTAACCAGCATTCTGTCACCTGTGTCTATGAGGTTTTGTTTGTTTTTCTCCAACAGGTTTATTTAATTCCTTATTTCTTGGCAAGCTGGGCTTCCGTACCAGATTCAAACTAACCAGCTCACAAACCTTAGAAAACCAGGCACCTCGCTAAGCCGAGCAGCAGGATGGCATAGTGACCGAGAACTTAAGTTCTGGAATCGGAGAGACCCTGAATTCCAACCTCAGCCCTGTGCCGTAACAACTGGGTCACCAGGAACCAGTTTCTAAATCTCTCTAAGCCTATCCCTCAGCCATAATACAGAGATAATAGTACCTGCCTCAGAGGGTGCTTTTCAGAATTAAATGAGGCAGTGCACAGAAAGCGCTTAGCACAGCACTTCACACACAGTAAATTGTGGCAACAGCAAATGTTTATTGAGCGCCTTCTCAATTAATCTCCTGTATTATTATTTCTAGGAAATGAGATGTGCCTGGCTAATGAGACTGCATTTTACCATTAGCAGGAAAGAGCTCTGGAAGAGTTTACGAGGTGAGTGAGCTGGTCGTATCAGACTACTAGAAAATCACCCCAGGATAGTGGTAGAGTGGAGGGTGGGCTATAAGAGAGGAACCTACAGGCATAATGATTATTATGGGAGCTACAGAGGTGAGGGACACCGATGATGTGTTTGGGCAGCAGTAAGCGGGCAGGAGAGAAAGGAGGTTCCCACCCCAGAGGTTCTTGGGAAGAACAGTTTGAGGACATGGTGACCGATTCTTGCAGGGTAGGACAAGGTGGCAAGGGGCCAGAAAATAATTCCCAGATTTCTGAGAAGTAGATGGAGCAAGTTTGGGTGGAAAACTAATGAGAGCAGCTCTGGTCATGCTGAGGGTGCTCCCAGGGGCAGGTCAATTGGCCTAGGAGTCTGAAACTCAGCAGGAATGCTTGGAGGAACTATAGCGACCAGGAATTTGTATGCGGAGAAAACGTAAGTCATGAATGGGTTCATGGTACTGAAGGAAACCCAGCAGAGTAAGAGGCTCCCCAGAAACACCAGCGTGTGAGGGATGGGCGAGAGAAGGAATCCTGCAGAGGAGAGAAAACAGAGTGGGGGAAGGGAGAGCAGGTGTTGTCATGGCATCTTCAAGGAGAGGGTGCAAAAGGCAATAGCAAGACCAAGTGAGATACAGACAGAGACGTGGCCGGGGGTTGGGCAGTGAGGTATGGGATGAGTTTAGGGACATGGAAGTGAGACTTCCATGAATTAAGGAGAAAATAAGCAGTAGAGGGAAATATAATCTACCCTTTTGAGAAAGTTGGCTTTGAAGGGATAAAAAAAAAATGCATGGCGAAAGTTAGAGAGGATGTAGGGTCAGGGGAGGGTCATTTTAGGTCAGTATGAAATATAGAGGTATGAGAAGAATGAGCTGATGAAAAAAGGAGGATATGTTTATCTTCTGGAACTTTTCACCTCATTTCACCTACTCACCTTCACTTCCATTTTCAGCAGCTCTTCATCCCTCGACTCCCAGGTCTCATCCAGGAAGCCTCAGCTTTTCTGGCCCACTTGAGGCCTGCCCCTCCCCCTTGACACAGTCTTGGCAGTCTACCCCTAGCCCCACACACAATTTCAGTAAGAGAAGTTGTTAATGTCACTTCATCCCAATCTTGTCCCTTTATGTCCCTTTTAGACTTCTAGAGTAGACCAAAGCAGGGGGCACACAGTCCTCTGGAGACCACCAGATTCCTGGGCTCCTGACGTTTATCTTCCTAGGAGCCACCATGTGTCTACAGGGGAGCAACGCCCCACAGGGCACATACTCTGTACAGGCCCAGCTAAGCATCCTCTGTAGCTGACAGAGGTGAACGCTCCTCACATGCCTGCTCATTCACAAATGCTCCAGCCTGACGCTCTTTCTGTACCTCTACTGCACCCACACAGATAGCAATAGATTCTTCCAGATTTCCCAGCTCTCTGCAGGCCCACAGAGGAATCTGGACAAGTCACCAGAAACACATTGCCACAGCTTGAGAAGAGTAAATCTAGCCTGCACATCCTGTGGGCAAGTGGGACACAGTGCCCAAAGCAGTCCATCTCTGTGAACATGTCCAGCCAGACACACCAACCTTGAAGCTCATCTTCAGTTCTCAGGCCCCCCTTAGAACCAAGGCTCTGACGGTGGGCTATACGAAGTTGTGAATGTCAGGGAGCAATTTTGGGTGTGAGCAAGAGCGTTTCTGTTTCCTATTCCTGACAATAACAAACACAGGCTCATTTGACATCAGACCATGAGTCAAATTTCCCAAGTCACTGCTACACTTGAGAGAATGGGCACAGCAAATGCACTGCCCCTAATGGGGTGGTCTCATGAACTGCTCAAAGGAAAAGGAGACAGGTGCTGTCTTCATTGCTCATGCTTTCCCTCAGTCATCGCCTCTCCTGAATGGAGACCCAAAGCCCCACTGTCACCTGGAAGTTCCACATTCACAGATCTGCCTTATCTGCCCCTTCCCTCATTGCCCCCAGATCTAGGACAGCTGTAGAATCTGCTACAAGGTATTTTCATATAGAATATCTTGACATTACATCCTGTGTAAGGAGCGTTGCCACAGCTCATACATTTTTGCAGAACACAGGAATATATTCTCCAAGCCCCAAACCAAGACACACACACACAGACACATACACATACACACTACCATCATTTTGCAGTGAATTTCAACAGGTCTTTTTTCCCTAGGAAATAGGTTTAGGCAACACTGCAAGCCACAGATTCCAATCAACTGACAGCCAGAAGCACAGACATTACATATTTATTTGTGTATGTCTACTGCACCCCACCATGGCTGTCCCTGCCCCCAGAAAGCTCCATGGGCACCTTTAAACCTGTACCTACCTCTCATATTATGAGTCCACATACATTTAAGTGGGGATCTCAAGTTCTAAATCAGTGCTGTCCAACAGGAATGTATGTGAATGTGTTCTAGACCTGCACAGTACAATATGCTAACCACTGGCCACAGACGGCTACTAAGCATGTGGCTGCTGCAACTGAGGAATTAAATCTTAAATTTTATTTTATTTTAATTAATTTAAATAGTCACATACGGCTAGTGACTAACACATTGGACAGTGCAGCTCTAAATAATTCCAACCAAGCAGACTCTAGCACCAGAGTAAAAAACTGAGCCTCTTCGGGGTTCTCCAGGGGCACAGGAGGAGGTGCTGGGAGACAGGTGCTGTGTTCATTGCTCAGGCTTCCCCCTGACCATCATCTCCCCTGAATGAAGACACACCTGAAAGGTGCTGGAAGATTCCTAGGCTGGATGCAGACATGCTGAATAGTGATTGAAGATGCATTGGGTGGAGCCACTGGCCTCTCCAAGGGGAACCATGGCAGGACAGTCGGAAGCAGCTGAAGATGCGCTTGAGAATGAGGCAGGGGCAAGACAGGACCTAACGGGGTCCTAATGGGGGATGGGATACAGAAGTGAATCGCGAGGCAGGACAGAGAGGGAGGTGGAGAGAGGAGTTCCCTCCCTGTGGGTTTAGTACCCTTCTCCCCTCCCCCATCACTGTAAATTTTAATAGAAGGACCATTAAGTATCTCCTAGACTAGAGCAAGCCTCTCATTCCGCAGGGTCATAAAGTGAGGTCCAGAGAGGTCACTGAGCTGTCCAGCGGCATACATGGGATCTGAGGCAGGATCAGGACCAGAACTTTGTCTTCCCCACTC